TAAAAAAAAAAAAAAAAAAAAAAAAAACTATTTAATGAACAATATTGATCATCTAATAAGCATAACCATTCATAGGCAAAGAGAATATGAGAAGAGGAAGCATGGCCACTTATGAACGGAAATCCAAGTTAGCATTAAACTGAACAATATCGTCACCGATATCCTATTATACGACGATATTTCAAAAGCAGAACATGAGCTTACGTCTTTGCGATCAACAAGGCCTGCTGTATTGCCACCTTGCTCCCAAATACTCTCCACCACACTAAGTACCCTTCTATTGACCCGCCACTTGGTGCTCCCTAGCATATCCAGAGCCTGTACTTATTTCAGCACATGATCAGATTGACTCAACTACATATATGATAGAAACACAAACAAATCATAAGACAAGGAAAAATTTTAAAATTTGTGATATTTCACATGAAAACTACTAAAGTTTCTTGCCAAATTTAAATAACTGATGTAATTCCGTATGGAAAGAACTTAGTATACTTCCTTCCATATGATTAAATGGGTTCAAGCTCTTGAAGAACCATCCACTAGATTAATTAAATTATATCATTGCAAGCATTTGCTGTATGTACAATTGCGGAATAATTTTATAGCTTGGACCAGAAAAATAAAATTGAAATTCCAAGTCTAGGTTGAAACGTAGCTTCAAATAAGAAATGCACAATAATCATCGTGGGTTGGCCAGTGCCCTAGGGTGTGTAAAAAGGGTGAAGGGGTTATGGGAGATGAGTTCAAACTCCATGGCAGCTACCCATCTAGATATCAAATCTTACGAAATTCCAAACAACTAAATATGGTAAGATTAGACAATTGTCCCATAAGAGTAATCGAGGTGTACGTAAGTCGGTCCAAACACTTGCAAAAGTAAAAAAAAAAAAAATAAATAATAAAAAAAAAAATTAAAATTAAAATTAAAATTAGAAGGAAAGAGGAAATGAATCTAATGCCTAATTTCAAGTTCGTTAAAAAGGGAAACTCAAGCTTTCCAAACCTCAAATACTTTCTGCATCGGTTTCCCTGAAATTTTCTTCAGGGCATCTTGTTGCCTACTTGATCCATGAGTACGCATGACATACGAAGGTAAGAATAAGTGCCCACCCTTATCGTACCTGTAAGATTTTTCCATTACATTTTTGTGATTAGTAGCAAATATAAGACATGGTGCCGCCTACTGTGTTGCCTTAAAGCACTCCATGATCACTTATTAGCCAAATTTAAAGGATCTTTTGATGCAGTAACCAAGGCAAGAAGCCTAAAGAAAATATACAATATAAAGAACATTTATTCAATTTTCTTCATACCCCTTCCATTTTTTAGGAGGAATCAACATAGGGATGTAAGGAATTAGCATATGCTTAGCCTGCATGGAAAGACATAGAATAATAGTTTAGAAGAGAAAATTCAGGGAACAGAAAAAGTTCATTTAATACACAAATTCATAGTCCTATAAGTTTTATCAACATGGAAGAGTTTGCAGTGTAGAGGGGAGTTCTTTATGCAAAAGAAGCAATAATACCACTACAAATGATAGCACAAAATGTGACATTATAATTAACTTTTGCTCTGATGTAGTCGAGGGCTCACTTCTTTACTGCCTAAGTCGTATATTTGATCCAGACATTCTTTTACTCCCATAGAAGCCATAACTGGTATATATATTTTAGTTGACTGTTATTTGACAGTCTATAGAGCATCGGTAATTAACCATCTAGCAAGATGTATTTTTCGCCGTTTTACCATTACTTATAATAAAAATGGGTTGTAAAATTGTCGGTATTTTGTAAAATCAAATGAAGAAGTCAAGCTCATTGACCTGCAAGTCTGCAATCATGTATAAAGCAAAAAATGATAAATGTTGAAGAACATCTGTGTCACTTTATTCTTTTAATTTTCTAAGCTTAATATCTCTATGTAGCTATGAAGAAATCATAACAAGATTCAGGGGACATCTGCTAATATAAGTTAGAAAAAGGAAAGAGATAAATATATATAACAAAAAACGAAAACTTACAGTTCTGTCAAGCCCAGTGAGAACTATGGGATCGCATTCAATAACTCCATAATTCTTCACAATGTTCTTCCTACAACCACCAAAAAAAAAATGCAGAAGCATGACAAGCTGTTCCAGAAAAGCTAGTATGTAAAGAGTTGGGTACTTGATCCTGTCAAATAGCGGTCATCTCTTAACTTGACATTTAAACTCCAATCATCAACCATCCACCCAGCTCACCAATCCGGAAAGGGGGAAAAAGGAAAAGAACCCCAAAGAAGGATAACGACAAGTACCAGCACCAAATACCCCCGACTCATTTCTCTAAAACATTACCTACTGAGCATAACCCAATGATCATATCTGTGGAGGTTGGTTAAATGAACCCTACTTGGTGACTTGGCTGTCAGCCAGTAAGAAATTGAAAATGGACAGGCAAAATAAAACTCACCCTGGAGTTTTTGCAACAGGTTTAAATTTATGCCAAAATGCAGGTCGAATATCAGGTGGACTGTCAGCTGACTGGGTAACTGGAGGTTGGATGAAAGCTGATTCAATTAACAATTCTATGAGACGACTTCCTAGCTGCAAAGTTTAATCAGGTACAGAAATGTCTTAAATGTGGTATTTGATTGATTTATGTCGAAACATACAAGATACGGTGGACGCCACAAACCTTCGCCTGGGTGTCTCGACCCCAATCCTTAAACTCTTCTTTTTTCAGCAACTTTTGCACCTCTTTCAGTCTTCTTCTCCTAATTAGACTATTAACTCGTTTCCTCAATAGCTCTTTCTCCTGGTTCGAACACTGAGCATCAGCTGGAACCTTAGTTCTCTGATTACTCCTAGCCTTCAGAAAGCTTTGAATTCTAACCTGGGTTAAATTTGAGAGGAGTCAAGCCCCTTGCACAATTACTTAATGTTAATGGCTTAGGAAGGAACGGAACAACAATTTTCGTTCAATAACTCATTAATAAAGCAAAAGTCAAGTTAACAGTAATTTAAACTCAAAAACTCTTGTTCGGTAACATGTTTTTTTTTCTTATTATTATTACATTGTTTGGTAACATGTTAAATCCACTTTAGATACACTTAGAAATATAAGATGGTCAAATTAGAGAAAATAAAATATATTAATCGGTATGCAACGAATTAGAACCTATATCAATATCCAGGGACTTCATTATTAAAACACTGTGGTTGAAAACATCCGCGGTCTGCTCATATTTGGCATGATGAATAAAATAAGTAGGCAAACAGAACTCTACAAAGATCATGCTCAACCCCTTTTGAAATCCATAAGATTAGAATAGAGAGGTTGTGAGATCCCACATAAGTTGGAGAGGGTAATGAAGCATTATTTATAAGGGTGTGGAAACCTCGCCCTAGCAGACGCGTTTTAAAACTTCAAGAGAAGCTCGGAAGGGAAAGCCCAAAGAGGACAATATCTGCTAGGGCTGTTACAGTGGCTTGGGCTGTTACAAATGGTATCAGAACCAGACATCAGGCGGTGTGCCAGCGAGAAGGCTAAGCCCCAAAGAGGGGTGGACACCAGACGGTGTGCCAACGAGAATGCTGAACCCTGAAGGGGGGTGAACACCAGACGGTGTGCTAGCGAGGACGCTGGCCCCAAAAGGGGGTGGATTGAGAGGTCCCACATCGATTGGAGAAGGGAACGAGTGCCAGCAAGGACGCTGGGCCCCAAAGAGGGGTGGATTGTGAGATCCCACATCGGTTGGAGAGGGGAACAAAGCATTGGAAACCTCTCCCTAACATGTTTTAAAACCTTGAGGGGAAGCCCGAAAGGGAAAGTCCAAAGAGGATAATATATGCTAGCGGTGGGCTTGAGCTATTACAGAGGCATTTTCAAAATATGGTACGAACAGAAAAAGCAGACGAAAATTTTATAACAACCACTCTTAAACTACCGAACCACCCTCTTAAAGTTTGTGAAACTGTTGCAAGTAAACTTACTCTTATGAGTCCATTCTGGTTGAATTTATCAGCAAAATGTACCAAGTCTGAGGTATAATTGCTACTGTACACTAGTTTAGAAATGTCCCAAATGACTTCAAGCATAACAATTTCATAAGTTTTATGTGTAATTACTCAAGAAAATTCGAGCTTAAGAGAAAGCATAAGATCTTCAATGCTCACCTCCTGTTCAATAGCAGAACCAATCTGAACCGCAGCCTGAACGACAAGAACACAGCCATCCTGCTGCGCCACCATCAACAATCCCATCATCTTATACATCACAATAACTGCCATCTTCTCTGCAGACAATAGCTCTATATGAGGCGCAAATGCCGCCTTCTGCTTCTTACTCCGCTGCGTTTTTTGCTCCTTCTCTATAGCCTGCTTCAATGGCTCAAACCAACCCAAGAACAAAGACTTCACATAAGGCAAATTCGGAGCCAATTTCTTTTCGCACATTTCTCTTTCTAATTCCTTATACTCCTCAACCGTCTTCTCCCAGGCTTCAGTCTCCGCCTTAAGCTGCCTCCTCCTCAACAAATTATACTTCCTCTTCTCAATTTCCCTAAATTCTAACTTCACTCCCTTCTGCAAGCTTTTGTAAAGCCCTTTCAGGAACAAGGAAGCTATCCATGGCGGATCTCGGATGAAGATTCTTTGGCAAGGTTCCCCTGGAGTAATCTGGTGAATTTCGCTCTTGGATATCTGCAAATTCATCGAATTATCGAGGGCTTCTGTGAAATTTTCCTGAACTGAATCGGCTGGAGGTTGAAGACGTAATGGCTCGGCAGTGGAATCGAAGTTTATGGGGAAAGAAACGGAAGAAATATGGGAATTAGAGAGGGAATTGAAGGTTGAGGTGAATGATAAATGGGTTTTTCTTTGGCATTTGCATCGTTTGGAGGGTTCCCTCCATGCATTGCCGCCATAGATGAGAGCTTGATGAGTTGGGAAGAAGGAGGCTGTCGAATGCATTTTGTTGAAGATAAAATTACGGAATTGAAGAAGAGACAACACCGAGTACTCGAGGAAGAACCGATAAAACCCCACTTAAACCCCTCGTTCACGGTTGACTATTATTATTATTATTATTATTATTTCATGGGATAGTTGTGTTTTATCGAGTTTATCTTGCTAGTCTCGTACAATAACTCATAAGTAGTGCGCAAGTTTTCCTATTCATTCTAAAGGATAGTAAAGTTCAATAGATCAAGTTAGTAGCCAATTCGATATTTGAATTGTTGTCAAAATGACGTTGAGATTAAGTGAGGGAGTGTGTCATAATCCACGATGCGATAGTATTTCCGAGTAGGTCATTAAGAACGAAGACTAGTTTAAATAGGGGAGAGTATTACACCCATCTTATGAAGAAAGTAGCATATGATTTCCATACGCATGCTGACAAGGTGACAACCATCGAGTAGTACCCATTCGATCACTTGAAGATTGAAATAGATAAGTGTTCATGATGTGAATAAGGAGGACGGTGCATCATCCAACACACCAAGAAGAGCGTGCATTAAAGCCAAGCTAAGACATTAGTAAGGTTGAGAGAACGAGGCGACACGAGTATCAAAGACAAGTTTGAAGAAGGCAGGGTAGGCCCCTGGACCATAACCTCAAAGGTTGAAGTTTCGATATAAATTTCAGCATGCGACTCTAGAGTTAAGTCAACCTATATGAAAGCTCATAAAATTTGGTATCAATCGGACACCTAAGAGACGATCCATGAGACTGTATGACCACTCGTCAAAATCACGTATACTCTAGAAAGATAAAAAATACTTTAGAAGGTATTATAAAGGGAGACATGGTGTCAGCTCTCCACCACCCTAGACCTTGCGCTACCCTATGACACCTACATGTATCGCAGTGTAAGCGAGCGAGACAATAGTCACGGGTGACTTCTTTTGAAATGGGTCTTTCAAGGACAATGTTGGATGGTAGGGTGTGCCAACATTGCATGTCCGCCATGTGTCGAAAGTTAGTATATGCACCCATTATCCGGTACAAAATTCGTAAATGACTTAGCATGGATATGAGAAGGTCCATGTCTGGATAGAATTTAGATGGATGAATGTTCGGGAGGCCTCAATAATAAGAACGATATATAGGTCCATTCTCGATAGACATAAAAGGTTTAATTTTAAATAGATTGAAACCATCACAAAATAAAATTATTTTTTTAATTAAAAAAAAAAGGAGAAATAAAAATGGAATCAGAATATACCAATTATCCACTAATATCTAAAATATACTGCTAATCAAATCTTAAGATAAAATATACTACAAACAACTCCAAAAAAAAATAAAGAATAAATATTAATTTATTAGAAATATTTAAATACTCCCTAACTCATTATTAAAATTAAATAATATTTAGACGAAAATATTAGATAAGAAAATTAATACAGCAATAATAAAAATAATATTTTTTATTTAAAAAATAGGTATTAAATTAGATATTTTGAAAATTATAGAAATTATTAAATTTTTTTATGGGTAAAAATAAAACATAAGATGTTACGCCGAACCACTGCGGGATTAGTCCAACCGAGTTTCCAAACACCACCAAAAAAAAATTGTGCAAACCGCTTGCCTTCATTCCTTTTCATCTCATCGCGACTGAACTCTCTCTCTCAAGCAAGAGATTTCTCGCGGATTTCCAGGTTAGAATTCGAAGCAATCGAGTCCCAAATCAACAATCAAAGTTCCGAGAATTCGCATATTTCATTTTTTTTTTCTGGAAGCAAAATAGTTGATTCTCTTTTGTGAGAACTGTATGATTAGTTAGCGTATAATCGATTTTAGGAAGTTTCATTTGTATCACCCATACTTCGATGAATTTCCGAACTGTGAAATTCAAGATTATGTGGAGAATTGATGAACGTTGTTTGTGAATGAGCGGAGTTCAAGTTCTGTATTGATTTGTTACTGGCATTATGTTATTTAGACTGTTAATTTTCTCATAGATCATACGAGTAGTTTGTAACTTCAGGACAAAATGATAATCTGTCATAGATGTTTTCTTATAAAATTTTCCATGTGATGAGTTGGATGCATGTTTGTGAGTTTCAGACTGCGGCGGTGGAGGCTGGATTTTTTTGAAGTGTTGATCCATTATTTATTGTTTCAAGATGGTGAGTAGTTCATATCTCTCTCTATCTTTGTCTGAATATAAGCGATTCATACCTTAACCTCGCTACAATGCTTTTATTGTAATTTCTCTGGATTAACTAGTTTACAAGCACGGAAAACTCAAAGAAGGCCTGTCATAAAATTTGTGTTTTCATCTGAAGTATACTTTTTTTTCTGGAGCCTGTGCTGAATAATTTTCAGTTACTACTATCTTGTTGAATTTACCTTCTAATTACGTACTACTGTTTCCATATATTCTTTATTATCTATGTAATTCTCTGTTTGTTCTAAACTATGTCATAAATTCAAGGTGAAATTATTTGCCTATTAAACAGTAGAACAAAGGCTTTTAACACTTGGTTCAAGAGTGGCCAGTTTGATAGTCGAATGAGAAACTTACTGTCGGCAATGTACAGGGTCATGTGGTGGAGATCATCTGTTATAATGTTTCTAGTAAGTCGGTGGCGAATATACTTAAGTCAGTATGAGGGTGGAAATTCTTTCAAAGCAGGATTCATTTTACTCCAGTTAACCAGGAGTTCAATTTTCTTGAAAGATCAAACATTCTGAACTTTCTTTAATGAGAAGTACAGGCCTTTTTGTGATCATATACAGTTCAAAGCTTCTAGTTGTAGTGCTTTATGCAGTGATCTTTGCTATCACTCAACTTCTTTGATCAATTTAGACCCAGTGTGTTTTTTTGTTAGTAACCACGAATCTCCTATTGATATTGTTCACTCTGAGCATAAACTCTCATGGTTTTGCTTTTGATTTCCCCAAAAGGGCTCATACCAATAGAGATGTATTCCTTACTTATAAACCCACGATCATCCCCTTAATTAGTGAATGTGGGACTCCCTCTCAATAATCTTCAACAATTTTCCCTTCGAACAAAGTATACCATAGAGCCTCCCTTGAGGCCTATGGAGCCCTCGAATAGCCTCCCCTTAATTGAGGCTCGACTCCTTCTCTAGAGCCCTCGAACAAAGTACACCTTTTGTTCGACACTCGAGTCACTTTTGACTACACCTTCGAGGCTCACAACTTCTTTGTTCGACCCTTGAGGATTCTATTGACATGACTAAGTTAAGGGCATGACTTTGATACCTGTTAGGAACAACAAATCAACATAATGGTATGGTATTGTCCACTCTAAGTATATGACTTTGATTTTGGTTTCTCCAAAAGGCCTCATACCAATAGAGATGTATTCCTTACTTATAAGCCCATGATCATCCCCTAATGTGAGACACCCTCCCAACAATCCTCAACATTTTATAATCTCCTTTGGCAAGAGAACTCTCGTCTCCCTGGCCTTTGGTTTGTTTGATTAAATGCTGTGAAATCAAATCTTGTCTCAACAAACCTAAAAAGGATATTAATTGGCAACACTTTTTTCTGACAGATATTCTATTTCTCAAATTGGTTTCTTTGGTTTGTCTCTTCTCTTGGCTTTGACACATTTATATTTTCTCTCACTTCATTCTTCTTCATCTGTTGAGTTATGGGGTCAGTTCTACGTTTGTTTGCATTTGGTAAGCTTTGTGCTTGTTATTTTATTTGTTCATTAGTTTTTATTGCATCATATCAAACCAAAATAAGTAAATCTGGTTCTCTCTGTCTCTCTCTTTTTTTTTAATAAGATACAGAAAGGATGTTATAAACCACCAAAAAAAAGGACAGCCTGCTCGTTCACTTTTTGTAAAAATTTATACACACCATATGGACCTGAGTACTAACAATTTCAATTGATTCACAATTTCCAATTGACTGTGACTATTCAGTATGTTTGTTATGCCATATTTATGTATAGGCCATGTATATCCGAATCAAGCGCCATAAGACAACCTACTTTATCCAGTGCGATCCAATTGAGACAACTTTAAACATCAAGCAAAAATTAGAGTCCCTTATTGATCAGCCAATTGTTGATCAGCGCTTGATCTTGGTGGGAAGCGGGGAAGTATTGGAGGATTCAAAGACACTGGCTGATCAGAAGGTATGCCTCAAATTCATAGATTTACTACATTTGGTCATCAAGCATCGGATATTCTGGAAATATTAAGGTGAAGACAATACGACAGCTGCGGCTCTAACTAATATTTGCTATGTATTTCCAGGTTGAAAATGATGCAGTTGTGGCTCTAACGTTGCGAAAAGGTTTTCTTCTACCCACCCCAACATTTTTTTTTTGTGAACTTACACGTTTTCTGCTTAGGGACTGAATTATTTGAGGGTGGATTTTTTCATAGTTATGCTCAAATTACAGGTCTCAGTCTTTGAACTTTTAAGCTTATGTCTTAATTAGTCATTCAACTTTCAATAGGTTACTGAACTTCAAAAGTATCGAATAAATCTCTAAATTTTCAATTTTGCATTTAATAAGTTCCATCCCAACAATTTTGTGAACTTCTGACAAACTTCTGACGTGTTTTTAAAAGTATATTTTCTGATTAGGGACTGAATTAGTTGTGAGCGTAGACTTTTTCATAGTTATGATCTTGCTTAAATTTCAGGTTTTAGTTTTTGAACAACCTTCCATTTTATGTCTAATAGGTTGCTGAACTTGAAAAGTGTCGTTTTCCTCAAACTTTCAATTTTGTGTTAGTAAGCTTGAAAATTTTAGAACATCTTGATTAAGTCAAAGAACTATTAGATACAAAATTAGAACTATTAGATACAAAATTAAAAATTTAGTGACCTATTAGAAAAATTGAAAATTTTAGAAAATTTTAGAATGTATTAGGCGTTCTTTAAATCTCAATGAATTATCATACACAAAATTGAAAGTGATTGATCTACATTAGCTCATAGACTAAATAGACATAAATATGAAACTTATGATTTTCTTTGTTGGATTTGGATTTAAAATATGGAACTCTGTCTCATCACACATTTTCTTGATCACTTTCCCTTCTTTGTGTAGATGATAATGAGTTCGAGGAGATCGACATTGTCAGTACAAACGATTTCTACCAATCTCGTGAAGCCGATTCTGGGAATTGGTAAGGGCCGAAAGTTTTCTTCTACTATGTGTGGTAGTTTATGATGTTCAGCCATCAAGCTTGTGGTGTATTATTGAAATAACTGTTCTATCAGTTGGATGGAATTGAAAATGATGCATAAGAAAGTAGACTTTATGCAGGATTAGATATCGTAACTCCATGCATTCTCTTTGTTATCCCCCAAAAGTTGCATTGGTGATTGAATTCATTCATGCATTGCTACAAGTTCTATAATATATGAGTTGAGAATTTTGTTAGGACCTTTTTAATTTCCTTTACACTATATGAATGTGGTTTTTAATTGCCTCTCTTTCTTATTCATATCATCTACAATGTGGTGATGGTTTCAAAATACTAAAATAAATGTGAGTTTTGATGTTTTTGTTAGGAATCACGACTCTCCACCATGGTATGATATTGTCCACTTTGAGCATAACCCCTCATGGTTTTGCTTTGGGCTTCCCCAAAAGGCCTCGTACCAATGGAGATAGTATTCCTCACTTGTAAACTCATGATCTTCCACTAAATTAACCAATGTGGGACTCACTCCCAATAATCCTCAACAATCCAACAATCCAACAATCCTCCCCTCGAATAAAGTACACACTATAAGCCTCAGGGGAGGCTTATGGAGCTCTCGAATAGTCTTCCCTTAATCGAGGCTCGACTCCTTTCTCTGGAGCCTTCGAACAAAGTACACCATTTGTTTGACACTTTAGTCACTTTTGACTACACCTTCGAGGCTCACAATTCTTTGTTCGATATTTGAGGATTCTATTGACATGGTTAAGTTTAAGGCATGACTTTGATATCATGTTAGGAATCACGACTCTTCACAATGGTATGATATTGTCACTTTGAGCATAAGCTCTCATGGCTTTACTTTGGGCTTCCCAAAAGGTCTCATACCAATGGAGATAGTATTCATCACTTATAAACTCATGATCTTCCACTAAATTAACCGAGCTGCGACTCACTCCCAACAATCCTCAACAATCCAACCGTTTTTAATAGATCATGTTTTGCATGATATTTAAATCATAATCTTATTAGGTCTGTTTTACAAGGTTATTGAAAATTTTGTTGGTTGGTTGGTTTGTTTTTTTTTTTTTTTTTTTTTCACGTTTTTCATTTTTATTTTAAAAAAATATTCGAATGCGTAGTCTATGTTCGAAAAAGCAAAGTTATTTAAGAAAAAAAAATGTTTTAAATGTTGATAGTACATTATAAAAAATAAAAAAAAAAATCAAATCAAATAGCAATGTTTTTTAGGGAGTGAGTGCCCGATTGAGTTTCCTCCAAGGCGAAGCCTCTTATTTTACGTTCTCCCAATAGGGCGAGAAGGGAACCCTCCCTAAGGTATCCCTTCTCCAGCGACCACGGAGAAGAGTCCCTTCTAATAGATGAAAGACCAAGCAAAGCTCGAGTGAAATTTCAAATGATGGGAGACTCGGTTTCACGATTAGAGATAACCTTATAATCTGCTAATAAGTCATTTTTAAGTTAAATGATACGCTTAATTTTTGAACTTTCAAATTTATGTCTATTTGATATTTGAACTTTAAAACGAGTTTAACTTTAAAAGAACATCACGTAATTCCTCATGGCACTTAAAGTTTAAGTTTTGTAAAATAACGACCTGAATTAATGGAGGGAGTCTAATTTTCTTTTATGGGAGTTTAATTAAATGATTAGATATATGTCAAGAATAAGAAGAATTTCATCCTAACGTCCTAATAAAATGTTGGGTGAAAGTAGTTTTTTTTTTTTTTTACCCGATTAGTTATTTACATGGTAATTTTTTAGTATTTGGTATTCAATCTAAATTACGCGGTGTCAAGTACTTTTGGGCGTGCGACATGAGCCTTGTTGAGCACTGAATGTGGCGATGTTGCCTTCTAACTTGGGCTGGCATTAGGATGGTTGATGATTGGTATGACGATGAAACATACAAGGTGGGGTGGAGCAGAGCTGGGTATCACAATTGCACTTTGATAGCAGCGAACTTGCGATTATGCGGCATGCACTTCTCAACAACAAGTGAGTTAAGTCTATTCATTCTCGCATCACCTGCGGCCAAACAATGTATGCTCGAGCCTCTAACCCCAGTTCAAGAAGAAAGTTTTAGAAAGCGGGGGCAGAGAGATTTCAAAACAGAATTTTGCAACAACAACGGTTTACTACATATAACTATCGGGTAGGGAGAAGTTGACAACTGATCATATCCCTTTATAATACATTTTGGGGCATTTTAGCCCTTGTAGGTGTAGACATGATTTTGGTGAACGGTCATACATCCTCATACTGACCCAATATGAAATGGTAAAGACCTATCTAGGATAAAAGCATGTAATAGGGGTTTGGAACCCATGGACAACATGTCCTGGACAAGCAAGACTGGGACATCTGTCATGCGCCCATTGACAACACGCCTTGGACATGCATGACCGTGACACTGGGTGCTTTTGAGTGTGCGGCATGAACCTTGTTGAGTGTGGGACTTTGTGGTGATGTCTTCCATCCTTCGGCCAACCCTATGTTTTGGAGGCGGCCTGAAGAATAAATTCCATAAATTTAAGTATGAGTTCTTTAAATACAAATTAAAATGCATATCTATTTTGAAGCTCAGCTTTGCACGGTAGAAAATGACTCCAATATCTTCTATAATTTTTATTGACAAGTTCATCATAGCTTAAATATAAGTGACTAAAATTTATTGTAATTTATTGGCCGGGAAGAATAAAAATATATAAACAACAAATTTTGTATATTAGCACGAAAAAATAAAAAAAATAATAAATAATAAATAATAAAAAAATAAACTAACAAGTGCTAACGGATTGAGTTTTTCTCAGTGTTATGTATGTCCATCCGAATTCCAAATTCTGAAGGTGCAATCTGCTGCCTTCGTTCTTCTTGGGCTACAGCTACTTCACTCACTACGCCATGGCCCTTCTTCCCTTCAAGCTCGCTCTCGGATGCCCTAACTCTTCACTCTTCTCTGCAACTCCCAGGCTCATGTCTCCTCGTCTTCCACCATTCCGTGTCTCCTGCGCTAAACGCACCGGCAAGAAGAAGTATCCATCGGAGAAGAAGAAGCTCAAGTTGAAACACAAAGAAGTCCTCACGACCGTCGAGAACAAGTTCGAAGGCATTTGGAGGCTCTTCAAGCTCGGAGTTTCTGTAGAGAAGGATCCTGGCAAGGATTTTCATGGACTCTCGGATGCTCTGATGCAAGAGATTGCTAAAGTCCTCGAGTTCCCGGTAATTTTGACAGCTTCGTTGATAATCCGAAATTGTGTGGTTATATATTGGAAAACACTGCGAGTCAATTTTCTTTTTGTTTCCTTGTTTTCCAGGTTGCTTCGTTGCTGCCACGGGAAGCTTTCTCGGTTATTCGTAAATCCTTTGACGCTAGAAAGGTATGTTTATCATTTATTTAATGCCTGTTGTTTAGATGGAATAGTTGATTATCGAGGAGTTGCTGGGTTCTTCTGTTTTGCTAATTGCCTCACCGATGCTTCCAGATGTTGAAAGAACCAAAGTTCGTTTATACTGTGGACATGGATGTAAATAATTTACTGATTCTAGAACCTCGTGCTCGGGATTTCATTTCGGACTTGGAGCCTAAAGTTGGATTGATAGAACATATTGTAAAAGAAAAGGTTTCCAATGATGTAATCAGTATCGTTCATGATCTCAAAAGCAATCACGAACTAGTGGAAGAAAGTGGGCTTAACGGTCACTCTGGTCCTTACATGCGTTTGCCAAGTAGTAAACCAAAAATTGCTGTTGTTGGCAGTGGGCCATCGGGCCTTTTCGCCGCTCTTGTCCTTGCAGAGTTTGGAGCTGATGTTACCTTGATTGAAAGAGGTCAACCAGTTGAACAAAGAGGGCGTGATATTGGTGCATTGGTAGCTCGTCGGATTCTGGAACTGGATAGTAATTTTTGCTTTGGGGAGGTGATTAATTTTGCTTATTTTATCACCATTTCCACTGTCTTGTTTGGTTATAAGTTATGTATGCATCACATTATTGCTTTATCCTCATTTCTTGCTTTCAACCAATGCTATTTTCTCCTAAACAAAAATATAATGAACTGTATGATAGTCAATGATGATTTTATCCAAACAAAACGTCTATGATTGAGCTTCACTGTTGTGTGAATGTCAGTTTATTTCCTTATTTATTTTTGTTTTTCTTGACTAGACCTATATGCACAGTCAATTGGGCATCTTTTATGTTTTTCTCACTGGCATACTGTTGTATGGTCATTTTATGGTCTTCCTTTTTTCATCAAAGATATCATGATGCTTGGCTCTTCAGTTTTTTTATCTTTTAAGTCATTCATTTAGAACTTATGCATGGCAGGGTGGTGCAGGTACCTGGAGTGATGGGAAATTGGTCACTAGAATTGGTAGAAACAGTGGCAGCGTGCAAGCGGTTAGACTTTTCCCCCTTGTAAATCCACTAGTTTTTTAATATTAGTGTCATAAAATTAGTTGTGCTTTTATAATAAGGGACCTAAATCTTTGAATGCCATCATGGAGTTTCTCCATGGTGCCTGTTCTCTGTTACAATTCTTACTTCCTTTGTCAGTTGGGTAGAAAAACAAGGAATTTGATATGAGTTTTCCCTATAAATGTTGAAATAAGAATCGCAGATAGCAGCACTATCGCTGTTCCATTCTGCATATCTTCTACCCTTGTATTTATTTATTCAAATTTCCATGCCCTTTGCATGACTTCAACCTATTTTCTTATTTTTGAACTTCATGTCATCTCAAATCAACACCATAAAAAGATAGCCTGCTTTCTCACCTCATTTTGCAATGTATTGCAATGATATTATCTGCTTTATCTATGATATCGCTGGACAACTGAATTTTATGTTTTCTTTCTAGGTTATGAAATCATTAGTTCATTTTGGGGCCCCAGAGAATATCTTACTTAGTGGAAAGCCTCACCTTGGAACAGACAGGTTGGTTCCATTACTTAGGAACATTCGGCAACACTTAGAAACGTTGGGTGTGAGTATCTACCTTATTTCCATCCTTGTAAGATTAAATATTTTCTGATAGTTCCACGTTTGTTCAGTTTTTCCCTTAATTTTTATGACTTGATTCTAGGCCACTGTCAAGTTCGGGACTAGGGTTGATGATCTAATTCAAGAGAGCGGACATGTGGTGGGCGTTAAAGTTTCTGATTCAAGAGACAAGTTAAAGCTCAACAACCAGAAGCTTGAATTTGATGCCACTGTCCTAGCTGTTGGCCATTCTGCACGTGATGTATATCAAATGCT